GAAAGCAATACAGGATTTAAAGCAGGCAATTTCTGAATGCAGCCCAGGACAACATTAACACGCTACAAAAAATAAGCAAAATGTAGCAACCTGCTAAAGTAAAAGCGATTAATTGAAAAGGTATTAGAAACAAAGGCAGGAGGTGAAGATGGGTTTGTATATTTATGGCAAAAGGTTTTTCACATAGGAGTCATTAGCATACTACAGCTTTCATTTTATAACAAACGTTACATAAAACATATTGGAGCAATTTGTGTTAGTCTGGTATATTAATGCACGTAATCACAACAGATTCAGCATGGAGCAGCAATATTTTAAGCCATTAGAGTAATAAACATTATGCCAAACAGTGATTTTTACAATATGCTAAAAGCAGTAAAATAATAAAACGAAGACATGAACCAATATGTGCAGAGAAATGTCAAATCAGCAAGTTCAAGGGTACTTCATTATAGTAACATGCAAATTCCTTTGTAATTTCACATTTCAAAAGAACACATGAGAAATTCCAGCAATTTGAAATGAGTTCAGAGACCACCACCTGAGGAGATGAAATCAAAGTCTTTGTCCTTATTCTTCTGTTTGCAGGTCATGAAGAAAAGGAAAGTGGCCTAGAGAAATATTTACATTGCTAATTTGTATATTTGGACCAAGCATGAATGCATTATGTCTTTTGAGTTTCTACAACCTTATCTTTCATACACAATCAAGTGCTTCATAAACATGTCATGCTTTCAAAAATATTCATAATGCATTTCTAAATTCATCACTTTAACTGGAATGTGAGGAATGTATGGGTAGCAAGTGGAGGAAAGTCAACTAAGATAACCCTATCTGTAATGCACATTGTGGGGGCAATGCAGACCTGTGACCTCATTCTTGAGGTAGGAGCTCATACAGCATTATCTTGCTCATATTTTTATTGCTCTCATGTACTCCAAAGTTCAGAAGGAAGGGGAAAGGTTGTTTCACAGTGGCTTTTATGAATCAAAAAGATCTGAATTCATGCAGGAACTACTAACCCAGTGACTGGCAATTTCAAGCGGTTTTTGTTTGTTTGAAAAACCAAACTTACTTCTCAGATGCTTAAAAAATTTAAGGTCTTCTTTGGATCCTAAAGTATTAGCATGAAAGTAAAGGATGTCTATCTTTTAGAACAACATTAAAAAGTATGGTTTCATTAATAGATACTTAGGCAAGTAATCCTGTATTGAATTAATAACTATGAGACCCAAGCATAATCAGCTTGACTTTTCAAAAGTACAGACCAAAGTGATTCTAATACCTGTTTAGTAATTATATTTGAAACAATTTGAACCAAATTAAAAAAAAAAAGAAAAGAACCATGAGTTGACATGTCTGAGATGCTTTATATCTCTGTAACTACTGAACACTAATGAGGTCTGCAGCTTAGATATAGCTTGCGTTCCTTAAAAAAAAAAAAAATACTGAAGAACGCAAAGAATGAAATGATTTAAGGTGGCATTACCAGCATCAGCTCCAAACCTGGGTTTGTTGGAAGGGCTCTGTTAAGCAAGTGCTTCAAGACTGGCATTGCAGTAGATTTGCTTCCCCTCCCCCCCCTTCTTCTTAAATACCATTGTCAATACAGGTCTGTCGCATCTTATGCGCATTTAACATGCGCGATTTCAGCTTTACACGGTCGGCAAAAACAACAACAACAACAACAAAAAGAGAAAAATAACCATTTTAATACTGTACCTGTAGTGCGGGCAATTCCGCCCGCCATTGAACTCAATGTAATTTTGACTATACGCAATTTTCGCTTTACGCGCTAACCGCGGAACAGAACCCCCACATAAGATGAGACAGACCTGTACAAAGTATAGAAAAGAAAAAGGCATCATTGTTGTGTGTATGTGTTTAAAATGGCATGTGCTATGGGTGGAGATTTAGAGAGTGTGGGAGCTTTTGGAAATGGCTCAACTGTAGGCAAGAAAAAAGGCATTCACAGTCTTCTCATCTACAGTGTGGCCTGGTCACATGGCCAGAGCACAGAGAACTCATGAGGGATGGGAGTCCTGAGTTACAGCTGTTAATGTACTAACATCTGTATGAGTTTATCTTCTTCTTCTAGCAGTATTATAAGGAATAAACAGAGGGCATTTAATCTTATAAAAGATTTATTTAACAACAATTTTGACTGAAGCATGGAACTAACATGACGTTCACACTGATCATTCTGCTTATATGTTACATCCCTTTCCCGCATCTGTCTGGTCAATTTAGATTGTATGCTATCTGAGGTAGGGACTGTCTGCTATGCTGTATTTATTCAGCACCTGGGGCCCCAATGTTGGTTGGTCCCTGGGTACAGGATAAACATGATTAATAAGAATCAATTCTAATTGACTGGTTCATTTTTTCACACTAAAGCACACGCGCCAATTGCAAAACAGTACTTAGGAACTTCATTACTCCTAATGCAAAAGAGGATTTAGACTATTTATTGATACATTATAATGCAGGGAGTCAACAATGAATGTGTCTTGTCAAATGGATCCTACAATGGGGCCAGGGTGGAAACAGCACACTGATCTCTCAAAGTATTTCAATTCCATTGCTTCTATCCAAAACCAGAAAGCACGAAGGCAGGCAAAACTTACAGCCCGCAAGCAAGATCAGTTTGCCCGAAGGGTCGATTTCATTCTTATTGGAGGTGCTTTGACCATTCTTATTAAAATGCTGCCCAACATTTATTCTTTTACATAAAAGTCACTAGTCCCTATTTTGATTGTACATCTCTTAGCCAGGCAAACTTTCCATTCCTGATGGCATTTGGGCCTTGGGGATTGTGTGTCTTGCTTTTTTTTAATCAGAGATGGTTGAATAATTCACTGAAAACAACATCTGTTATTCATTTTGGCAGTTCTTTATCTAACAATTCGTTGAGAATGTTTTTTATTTCCACTATTCAAGTAGCTCATCCAGGTTCAGTAATATTAATTGCTAACACATTCTGTAATAAAATTATTTGCAAGCCAATTTCTCCATTATTTTACCAGCCATATTTTTTGCGGAGAGAAGCAAGGAAAGAGGTGAAAGCTTAAAGAACTGCAGATATAAGAGAAGGAGAAGGAGAGGAGAAAATAGGATAAGCAAAAAGATAACAGAACACGATTAACTGGGGGGGAAGAGGGAGGAATCACAATGTTACCATACAACGGGTTACTGTGAACTGCAGCCAAGAGTCCAACAGATTTCTGGAGCTTACAAACTGGAGTAGCAACATCTTTCTGTAAAGAGCTGGAGATAACAGAAGGATAAAGCTTATCCACAAACATTACCTGCTTTCCCTAGAATGCAATATAGTCTTTGAAAAGAACACACAGCATGTACTACACCCTGACCTTCGTAACACAAATATTTGAAAAAAAAAAAAAATACATGGGTGAGGCAGGTGAAGTTAAAGGAAAGAAGCTATATTTCATCTGCGTATACAGTTCAATCCCTGAGCTATTATTCCCACGGAGAGTAATCCCATCACCAAACTCCTATTCATCTTAAGTAGATGTGACAACTTGTGGTGCAACATTAATGCTTATGGGCCTGATGCAAAGCCTTATGAAATCAGTGGAAAGGCTCCTATTAAATTCAGTGGGCTATGGATCAGACCACAAAAGAGCTATAATATTACAGCATCTAACAGAAGCAGAACATGTAGAATCAACTTGGGTATTTGCTATTCAGTTTGCAAGAGCTGTTCTGTAGATGATCCGAATAAGATTATAGCAAAATATATTGTGCTTTCCCTTTCTATATGTAAAAGGTTCTTCATTAAAAGGCTGACTATAACCTATTTCAGCTGAACTCTGAATAAACTAACAGGCATCCCCCCAAATATAAATTATGCCTTGTATTAAGAAATTCCAGGTATAAAGTCTGCATATAAATGTACTGGCAAAATATGTTCAATCAGCATCAATTCCATGTTTCCCCATGTTCTAGATTTGGACAACTGCTCAATAAAGCACATTAGAACGCAACAGCACTTTTTACATAAGCGTCACAAGCAAATTATTTTATGGATTTTAATCTGAACACATTTTAATTTCTACTGCTGGCAGTTATGCAGTCTACAGTATTTACAATAGACATGTATCAAAAGATGTTAGCAAAAGTCTTGAGTTTCCCTGAACAGCATGTGTGATGCTCTAAAATGTCACAATCCAGCAATATTCCAAGTCCTGTTGCAGCTATACAGCGAGATACACAACAGGTGCCAATTTCTAGTGGGAATTTGATCACCACCAGACTCCTAAGATACTTTCTTTGGAAAAGAATTTTTTTTTTTTAAAGGAAGAGCGGAAACAGTGAGCTTTAAAAAGAACTACATTTATTTTTGTTTACAGCAAATGCCATAAATAAAGCTAAACAACTCTCACAGTGTGCAAAATACAGAATTTCCATGTGACAATTTAAATACAGAATTTAAAAAAACTATTTACTCAATTAAGATCATGAAGCAAAAAGAAAGCAAAAAAATTTAGGAGGAGAGGGACAGAATCCTTGATGGCATTCTTTAAAGAATTGAAGACTCTGCAACAGAAGGTAAAGAAACATAGCAATGGCAAGTGATTTGAAAAGAGAGACCAGTCCTTCATAAACCTTACCTTAATGAAGCATGCAGAGTTTAGTAAACAAAAACAAACAACCCTGAAATTATAAAAATCCATACTTGTGTCCTAGCCTTGTGGTGCAGGAAATGATGGGTCAATGCCATGCAGCGAGCTGGGGGGGGGGGTTCTTTTTAGTTTTAAAAAGATTTTCAATTCTCGTAAAAAGTTTAAACAATACCAGCACGCTCAATTATTTTAGCACTATATACACACACAGGTCAGCAAGATAATGAGTTTGCACACCTGATCCTATAGTCCTTCCTCATTCTACAGTAAGGCATACAGGATGAATCCTTCGCCGGGGATGTTTACAAACTCCATAATGTTTTGTTCAGAAAGTTTCAGATTAATTCACCAAGATCCTGCATGTGCAATTGGATTCACAACATGGACCACTGCCCCAGTGATTTCAATTAGAATATGCAAGAGTGCAGGGTTCCATGCTAATGGATCCATTTGCAGGATTGGTACATAGGTTCTCATTTGTAGGCATCTCTCTTTTTAGATTATCATTTTATTCAAATATACTTGGCATTTAAAAAAAAATTCTCACAAGCCCTTCATAGGAAATAAAAGTAACTTCTCATGCACCAAGACAAATCTATTATCAGTTAATAAAACAAACCCCAAAGTTGCTAATTGGGCATAGTTAAAACGGTTATTAGTGAAAACAATTGGAATCAAACATTCTAATTACAGAACCCTGATTGTTTATTACAAATCCAAGTGCCTTAAACATAAAAGAGCACCTCCATTTTTATTAAACTGCCTATGAACTCTGGGTTTTTTCCCCCCCTCTTGTATAGGAATTTTTATTGCTCTGAATGTGGATTTTTGTTTTATCAGAAACTTCAACTTTTTTTCCTCCCTGAATATTGAGGGGAAATGGTTCACATTCATATAGCACTGTTTCATCCAGATAGCTAAAAAGTGCTTTACGAAACTGGTAAGCATTACTATCCCCACTTAAACAAGACACAGAAGACCATCTGTAAGATTCTTCATGCTCTGGTTCTGAATTAGTGCAGATATTATACTTTGAAAGAAGTAGAGTTTTATTTAATTAGTATTTGAGAAACAATGGAGTTGCCTAATATTTAAAAACATGAGAAAAGATGTACATGCAGGGGAGGAAAGAAAGAAATGTCCTTTATAGAAACATAAGAAATGATCTTTTCTTGCATTGTGCGCTGTGCAATTGGTTAAAAAAAAATAATCATGCTAAAGCTTTCATCCGTTAATATACCAGACACACAGTTTGCTCCAAAATGTTGTCAAACGATATTAGCGGTTAGTTACAATATTCTGAAACTGTCAAGCAGAACAATCACCTTACAACAGAAATGTTTCAGCCAATGAATGGACGTAGAACTGGAATGTTGAAATGAACTAAAAGCAACACAGGATGTTGGAAAAAAGGAAAAAAGAAAGAAAGAGGAACCTTAGTTTGGCTATAGGTGTTATTCACAGATTACTAGGCAAAAAAAAGTAGAAAAATCAACCAAAATTAAACCGCCTTATTAATTTATGAGTGATGGCTTTCTTCATTAATTTATAAAGATGAACAGTTATGAATCTTACTGGTAGAATTTTAAGGCTAAGGATAAAACATACATGGATTAATTATATAGATACCAGTGTGACATTTTCAGCAATACTAATGATTTTGAAATGCCAGCAAATATACAATTTCATATTCTTTTATGAATATTATAAACTTTATAATCGTGAATATGCCCTGAAATTTGTTGTGTTTTTTAATTAATCTATATAAAACCTACACTTAACTTCTGTGTCTCACTTTCTACTAATAAGATTCATTTTCTTAAAATTCATGGTACATCACAGGTTTTCAAGCTTCTTACTACAGAGTTATTCACTTAGACTACCATTATACTCAGGCTACTAAAATTCAGAAAAAGTGACAAACATTAGTGGAGAAATCTTAGGGAAAAGTATTCTGTTGGACTGTTTTAGTGTCTGACAGTCCAACACTCTGAATCAAAACATGTTAAATAAAATCAGAAAATGCATTTCTTAACATTCTTTAGGATGGCTGGAGTAACATGGTAAACAACATTATGGGAGTTTTTTTTTTAATTAAATTTTTACTAAAAGTGGAGTCCAGTATTCAAAATACTCAAGTAGTACAAAAACATTTCTCTACATCTCTATAGCTGCTTACCATATTACTGTTACGATCACGGTCTCCTGTCAAAAGTCTAGCAAATTCTCACTGGAGTATGTTTGAGCATTAGTGGCAAGTTGCTGCAAATGACATGCTGTACTTGAAAACCATACAAGTTCTTTGTATAAGCCTTTGCAAATATCTTCCTCATCCCCCTAAAAAAATCCTGAAATGCCTTCTCATTGAAAACTGTACATGGTTTCATTTTCTGTATTTTTTAAAATAAAGATAAAATTATCTGGAAAAAAATCTGTTTCTATTAAACCACCAGGCTAGTTTTGTTTGTTTTTTTAAAAAAGACAACATACATTCTTTTTACTGCCAAACAAACATGGAAGCTTCCATTTGGTCTTTTGCAATATACATATTAAAATCAACCCACCTAAGGTCATTGGCAGATGACCCCTCCTGTTTGTTTTCTACCAACTGCTGGCAACATGTTTTCTGTGGCTTAAATTAATACCTTGTTATTAGAAAAAAATGCTACAGATGCTTTTAATTTTTTGGAGATCTTTCCATGTGTTTCTCCATCAAATACAGCTTTAAGCACTGAGATAGGGAATGTGTGTATAATTAGCTAGAGGAGTCTAGACAATAGTTAGAGTCTGGGGAATTGTTCATGACTAATTGTCATCAGGTAGCGCTATACATTCTAGAGAAGCTTTTGGGTTAAGGTACCTCATACCAAGATCCACCACAAAAACCTTTTTCTTCAGAGATGATGCAACTTTATAACTATTTTGATTTTCTTCCATTAGCATCTTACATTGAAATAAAACATCTAACAGAAAATCATCAGTTTAAAAAAAAAAAAAAACCACATTATTTCTAAGTACTTCTATTTTACTCAAATATGGCTTTTTAGAAATCTGAGTGCAATATATTGCAAGCTTAGGACTCAATCCAAAGTCATTTTCAGCACCTACAACTCCAACTGACTTCAGCTAGAGCTGTGGGTATTCAACTACCCTTTGGATCAGCCCCCAAATGAGAAAAACCTCTTAATTTGGGGAATAAATAGCAGCCATCTACACTATGTTTCTTAGATCTGACCATTTCAATTAATCGTCCACTCATCTAAGATTTGCACTTTAAATTTATTTCAGGTTTAAATAAGCTAGTATTACAGAAAATACCTAGTATTAACAAAGGATACCAAAGGAGTAATAAATTAAAAAAGGCATGGCTAGAAGTCGGTGCATTAGGTACAGTAAAAAGCTTTTTTTTTTCCTTTCAAAACATCTCCATGCAAGTAGTAAACCTTGTACCCAGAGCAAAAGATGAAAGCAAGAGAAAAGGGATGTGCCATATTCAGGTTTCAAAACCCAGTCACTTGTCACTATCATCCTGAAATGTCTGAAAGAACATGTTCTTTCTTGGTCTTTAAAACAAGAATTTTAAAATGTAAACCCAGAAACATGGTTGTTCACAGCCAGAAACCTACCCCTGCACAAATGTTTATAAAATATCCTTCATTTAGTCCCCATGTTCTGGAAATGCATCTGGACACTGAACTTCATGATACCTTTCTTGTACAGTACATGTTTTAAATTCATAGTGTGTTTTGATTGCACTTAGTCTATCAAAGTGAGCTCTTTGTTCACTTAAAGCACATATTAAATTGAAATGTTTAAAAACATATTGCAAGGCTGTTAATTTTGGAAATCTGAAAGGCACAAATTAGCAAGACACTTAAGAATTTAAACCCTAAAGAACTTTTTCACCCATTCAAGCATGTTTTCAAGTGATAGCTCTGCTTCCCGGTACATATGAGTAAGTACCTCTAGCAGTGCACACAGGAATGGCACACCAAGGCTCAAGAGTTCATACAAATAGGTATAGTTGTATGCATTGTCCCTCAAATGAAGATTGGTAGCGTGCAGAAAACCATGCATCCAGTTAGACAGGCGTCTTGGAATGTCAAGCAGATCCCTCGTCACCCTAAGGGGCCAGCTTAGAGTTTTCCTAAAGAAGGAAGTCATGATACCTGGGGGCCTGTCCTCTGGACTGCTAACAGTAGAAGTAGTACTTTCTGTGGTGGTTTCTGGGTGCTTGGGTTCCTCTTGCATCCACATTTCTGTTTCCACCTTAAAAAAGGAAAATTAAAAATAACTGCATAAGGGCTGAAATATAAAGGTCTTTACAAGGATTAGTAGATTCCATGACCAGAAGGGACCATCTAGTCCAGTGGTTCTCAAGCAAGGGTACACAACCCCCTGGCGGTACATCAACTTGCTAGATATTTGCCTAGTTTTACAACAGACTACATAAAAAGCACTAGCGAAATAAGTACCAACTAAAATTTCATACAATGGACTTGTTTATACTACTCTATATACTGTGACAGACCCAGACCAGTGGGGTACAGGAGTCTGGTAGAGGGCAAATATACTGGTCACTGGATGAGTAGTTTTCTGTTCCCTGAGTGACCAGAGAAGGGGCTGCACTAGGGTAATCAGGAACCTGCTAGAACCAGTTAAGGCAGGCGGGCTAATTAGGACACCTGGAGCCAATTAAGAAGAAGCTGCTAGAATCAATTAAGGCAGGCTAATCAAGGCACCTGGGTTTTAAAAGGAGCTCACTTCAGTTTGTGGTGGGAGTGTGAGGAGCTAGGCGCAAGGAGCTGAGAGGGTGTGCTGCTGGAGGACTGAGGAGCACAAGCATTATCAGACACCAGGAGGAAGGTCCTGTGGTGAGAATAAGGAAGGTGTTTGGAGGAGGCCATGGGGAAGTAGCCCAGGGAGTTGTAGCTGTCATGCAGCTGTTACAGGAGGCACTATAGACAGCTGCAGTCCACAGGGCCCTGGGCTGGAACCCAGAGTAGAGGGTGGGCCCGGGTTCCCCCCCAAACCTCCCAATTGACCTGGACTGTGGGTTCTTCCAGAGGGGAAGGTCTCTGGGCTGTTCCCCAACCCACATGGTGAATCTTTGAGGCAAGAAAATCCGCCAATAAGCACAGGACCCACCAAGATAGGGGAGGAACTTTGTCACAATACTATACACTGAAACGTATATTTATATTCCAGTTGATTTATTTTATAATTATAGGGTAAATGAGAAAGTAAGCAATGTTTCAGTAAAAGTGTGCTGTGACACTTTTGTATTTTTATGTCTGATTTTGTAAGCAAGTAGTTTAAGTGAGGGGTAAGTGGAGACAAATCAGACTCCTGAAAGGGGTACAGTAGTCTGGAAAGGTTGAGCGCCACTGATCTAGTCTATGATAATCTAGTCTGACCTCCTGTATAACACAGGCCATAGAGCTTTCCCCAAATAATTGCTAGAACAGATCTTTTAGAAAACCCATCCAATCTTGATTTAAAAATCACAAGTGATGGTAAGTTGTTCCAGTGGCTATTTATTTTCACTGTTGGCACAATACTATATATTCTTGTGTCTGACACCTACAGGTGAACTATGTAATGTAGCTCCACAAATTCCCACTGTCGTTATCTAAATACACAAACATGCAATCCAAGACTCAAATATTTTATCTTCATAATTTTTTAAAGTGGCTCCTCCATACAACTTGTGTTTTTATTTGTATTATCTTATTTGTAGAATATAATTTGTTCTGCAGTTTGCTTTAGTCTATGACAATGACACACACAGTATTGGGATGGTAGCACAGGCAAGTATTTGTAAGAGTGACTAACTTTCTGTGATCACTGAGAGACAAACATCAACTAAGTTGACATCAATCAGAAGTGGAACCTTCAGCCTTCCCTTATCGAGTCAGCGCTCACTTTCACAATGTTAGCTTATAGCTATTGATTCTCAAACCATACATATGCCAAATGCAAAAGAATAAAAGGTTAGCATTACTTGAGGATACTTTTCCCTGTTTTTCAGGTGTGTGTGTGTGTGTGTGGGGGGGGAAGCAACCAAACTCCACAAAACTGTCTCAACATTTATTGCATTAGAAGTATAACCAATACATACTTTCTCTTGCGTTTTTAATGTAGATCGTCTTTTCCTGTGCTTATTGCTTGTTTTACATTGTGTAAAATGAGGTTTGCAGTAAAATTTACCTGTAAAAGAAATGACATTATATTTAGCCGGTAGGTCCAAGGACTAAAAACAAGCCAATGTATCTGTAAGATGACTGAAGCAGCAAGTCTAGTGGTTAGAGGACAGCAAGAGGAATTGGGACTTCTGTTCTATTCTCAGCTTTGCCATTGACACACTGAATGACCCTGAACAAGTTGCTTTCTGTGTACTGGTTTACATACAGGCAGCATTACCCCATGTCACATTTTTATCACACAGGACACTGAGGTTTAACTAACCTCAGTAAAATGCTTTGAGATCCTAGAAGTACAACCCAATTTCAGATACTAAACCAGTTAACCTGTTGAACCTGTTCCACTGTGTATAAAGAAACAGTCATTGAAGCAGGGGAACTGAAACCTGGGTCTACCCTCTTCCCTACTGAGTGCCCTAGCCCCTGGGCTAGAGAGTCTTCTCACTCCGACTCTGGCCCAGTGAATATTTAGATTGGAATAGTTTTAACATGAGAGATTGAAAGAGCCAGGCCCCAAAATACCCCAAAGGCCGGTAGTTAGGACACTTTCCTGAGAGATGAGACCCAAGTTCAAATCCCTTCTCCATATCAGGCAGAGAGAGGTATCGAACCTTGGTCTCGCACATCCTGGGCGAGTTCCCTACAACAGACTTGAAAGTTGTAAGTGGGGCATTACTATCTGCCACATACCCAAGCAGCAGGAACTCAAGTACCATGTGGACTTTAACAATGGAAATTTAGGTGCTCAGGAACTTTAGGTGCCTACACGGTTAAGGTGGCAGCGGAGTAGGGGTTTTGAGGCTCAGTGGTGCCTAAATGTTGAATTTAGGTGCTTAACTGCCACTTTAGGTGGCAAAGTTCTTTTGTGGCTCTACTCTAAATCTCTATATACTGTGATGCACTGGTACAGTCACCAAAGTTCAGACCCTATTGTGAACATTTTGGGAAGGAAAGGAGACACTCTCGTACTTTAACATATCCCTTCTAGAAAACAGGGGTCAGCCACGGAGGCCAGGTGTGGATCCCAACATCCTTAAAGTCCGGAGAGTACTAGAGTAGATTGTACCAGCAGTTTGCTAAAGTTGCTGCTTCCAAGTTCCGAGCTACAGCCTCGGGGGGGGGGGGGGATTCACACTCTTATTCGTTTCAAATCTGCCATTAATTCTGCCTCACTCTCATTGTTGAATAAGGAAAATGTTTTTATAAACTGGGAGGATGATCAGGAGGCTGGAGTGTTACCTTGGCAAGTGAAGGTCAATGCAGGAAACCAACCCTTTTTGTCTTTACTTCAACCCACAATCAGAAGTGACACATGTCTGATCTCTCAACCAAGTTTCCAGCAAACATTTCTTCATTTAAACAGAACTACCTTGAGGTCAGTCATAATTAGGCTTCACTGAAAGGGTTGGGACTGCAATTGCAGTGGGAATATAAATTGTGAAAGATCAGCACGGGCAGAACTCATCAATGGATCATGCACATCTCCTGACTGAGCTACCTGGCCTCTACGTTTTTCTGCTCTGTTCAAGCTTTAAGATGCATACATTTAAAAAAAATTCTTAAATAGTTACTATATTACCTTCTTCTACATCAAATGCATAGATTGTTAGGCGGAGCGTTGTAGAACATACATCACACTTAAAGCATTCCCTATGAAAGAAGTGGCCCTCTGCACTCAGGCGCTCCATGACATATACCCGTTTCTTGCAGAAATAACAGATGTCACTGCCACCTATAGTCTGAGGAAATTCTTTTCGCAGAGATCCCTGTTAAAGATAAGTAAAAGATTAAAAGATTGGCAACACAATACTTTACCCATGAACTACAGTACATGCATATACTTCATCTACTACATTGCTGCTTTATTAAATATCCCATCACATTTGCAGTTTTCACACACGTACTTAAGATGAGTAGCTGCTGTCAACTTTTCTGCTGTCTCCTCTTTGTACTCATTTAATAGGATACCTTGTTTATACAACACTCAAAAATTCTCACTTTACTAAGACTTTTAAGGGACAAAGTTTGCATTCGCGTGTGCACACACACACACACACACACACACACACACTTTTGTACTTGTGCAGGTACAAGGTAATATTCACCCCCAACACCCATTTGTTAAACTACAGCTTGCTGGTTCAAATGCTAACATTTGCATGAGTATAAACATTAGAGCTTAGGCAGACGTTTGCACCTGCAAAGCACAGACATACGTATTTGGGGCCTAGGTGCTGAAAGTGTACATGCTAAAAATAAAAATCAACTCAACAGAAGAGACACTCTTCTGAGGCAGATCTAGCCACATGCTGTAAGTCCCACTGAAGGAAACTGCCACGGTTACATATGCCAGAGTATGAAATGCTCTGCTAGTATTCAAAAATATATTTATTTATACCTAACTGTTTTGAGGTTGGTTTTTTTTGTCCTTAGATTGCCTGTACACGTTTTTACATTGCTTCTTCCCGAGGTATATTTAGAATATGTTAAAAATTGTGGTTTTAAAATATGGTATTAACTACTGAAATCTTTTTTAAAATGTTAATGACATTCTTTATTTCCACAAGGTTTATTACTGATGGATCCTTGTGTCTGCAAGGCCCATCAGGAACCAAGCAGACTAAATTTGTTCATGCTTCAGTTTTCCCACAAAAGGGCATGTATGACAAGGCTGCAAAAGGAACCTCTATTGTGTACCCTTATTCTACCTAGCTATGGGCCCATGCAGAACTGTCCCCTACGTCTTACATGAGACGAAGTAATCTACATGGAGAGGAGGAAGTTGGGGCTTTGACAAGATACATATAGGCAACATGCAGACTATACCACCTAACCTCCAGATCCCATCAGAGAGACCATCGTTTTGTGGTACCTCACTTTTTGGTGTTGTGGGGAAACAGACCGGGGGGGTCTCCTTTCTAGTAGCCCAAGCTCTGAGTCACCAAGCTCTAGGATGAGCCCTCCAACAGAAATCTGTTCTACCGATGGCCTCTGCACAGAATAGAACAGGCCTAAAAGCCTGAACCAAACTGCACAGCATAATTCTCTTCCAAATACAGTCAGAAGTAGTAACAGAGGAGGGAATCATAAAGTCTGTTGGGAAACTAACTGCTTTAGAAATATGATAACCGCAAAATTGCTAGCTATTGAGACATTGTTTTACGGAAAGATAAAATATTTTATTTTGCTGCTACTATTGTTTGCAATATTCTCTAATTCCAGCTATCTGCAAACCAGCCAATGATAGCTCTCTTTTAAGCGTCCCCCGAAAAACCCCCCTTAGCTCTTACCGAAATCCCCCGGAAAATGACATGTACCAAGTCTTAAGAAATGTACCCAAGCCAAAGTTGAGCACCACCCTCGCGGAAAACCACCAAATGTCCCCATGCCCAATTACACCCACTTCTTGGAACATTAAGAAAGAGGGCGAGGGGAGGAGGGAAGAGTGACCCCAACCCAACACCCCAGCTCGTGATGAGCGCGTGTTCACCCAAAGCCCGGCTTGTGATTTGTCCCCGAGCTCGTGTCCACTATATGCCCAGCTTATGATTGGTTCTTAATTTCTTAACTAATGACGTATTAATTGTATCATGCTTGTGGTTTTAGTAAATAAAACAGCCTGCGTGCTGCTGTTCGGGGTGCCAGCTTCCGAGCTGCACCCCAGTGCGCACTGGTTTGTATTGCAATAAAGGCCTCAGGCTCTGAGTCTGTGAACTAAAATCACTGCGTGGGTGATTCTTGCCACGACAGTGTTAACCACAATCAGGGCACGATGCACTTCCATCTTATGCTTCCCCTCTAGCTGTGCATTTTTCATGTGCTTATAAGTGCAAGTGCCAGTCATCATTTGCCCCCTCCATCCCATTTGCCAAAACAGATTATTTCTATACACAAAATTTCCAAAATACGCAAGCATACAAGTGAAAAAAGCCAGTCGCAAATACTATGTTAATGGAGTAGGGACAGTGATGAACTATTGCTAAGCTGAAACAACCGCATATTAGTGCGTGCTAATAACAGAGCACCACCACAACACCACCTCACTTTGCCTTTCAATACCTGACAACTCTGAACAGTAGAAGCACAAGTTGGAGAAGTGGAATAGGAAGTGGGGAAAGATGTAGCTGTGTCCAATGACTGGTTCTGAATTCAACACAATATTATCATAGTTTAGAACTGCTTTCTTCAGAAGGAAACATGAATTATTCAACATACATATGTGGGTGTAACTGTACAAACATGCACTTTAATAAACTTTCTTCAGAAACCAACTCTGATTAACAACTGTCTTTACTTATTAGTTGCACTAGCAATTACACTTAGCAGAAGCTCCCAAGATTTTAAGATACAGAGGCAAGTAATAAAATATAATAGAAGCCCTGGTCTCTGACATTTACAGAATATACCCATGCATGCATATCTTTTGCTAATAAGCACCTAGTTCTTGGAAAAAAGAAAAAAATTCCAGAATGCTTAAGGACCAGAATTGTTCCAATTCCAGAATCTTAAATTGGATCATTGTGATCCTGGAAATGTTACTCTTAAAATGAAGATATTTGATTCTTTGTGGGTTTAGCCTTACCAGTTCTGGGGAGGAAAACTGTGGCTTGGGCTTGTGGTCATTCACAGAGAGATTGACAAGGACTTCAGCCACAACCCCTATTCCACGTGACACCTTCCCTACAGTCATCTAACCAGCAAAGGGAGAAGATGAAGAATAGAAGAAAGAGCTTTCATTATTTCTGAGAAAAGGACTGTATGAGAAAAGGACACAACTTATTTGAAAACACACAAATGCAAGCAGTGATAAAAACAGGCTAGAAATTAGAAAGAAGAAAGTCTAGCACAGTGTGAAAAGAACAGGAGTACTTGTGGCACCTTAGAGACTAACAAATTTATTTGAGCATAAGCTTTCGTGAGCTACAGCCCACTCCTTCGGATGCATAGAATGGAACATATATTGAGGATATATATATATATATATATATATATATATATATATATATATATATATATATATATACACACACATACAGAGAGCATGAAAAGGTGGGAGTTGTCTAACCAACTCTGAGAGGCCAATTAAGTAAGAGGAAAAAAAACCTTTTGAAGTGATAATCAGGATAGCCCAGTACAGACAGTTTGATAAGAAGTGTGAGAGTATTTACATGGGGAGATAGATTCAATGTTTGAAATGGCTCAGCCATTCCCAGTCTCTATTTAAGCCTAAATTGTATCTAATTTGCATATCAATTCAAGCTCAGCAGTTTCTCACTGGAGTCTGTTTTTGAAGCTTTTTTGTTGCAAAATTGCCACCCGCAATTAATTAATTACTTAATTGGCCCCTCAGAGTTGGTTAGACAACTCTCACCTTTTCATGCTCTCTGTATGTGTATATATATCTCCTCAATACATGTTCCATTCTATGCATCCGAAGAAGTGGGCTGTAGCCCACGAAAGCTTATGCTCAAATAAATTTGTTAGTCTCTAAGGTGCCACAAGTACTCCTGTTCTTTTTGCGGATACAGACTAACACGGCTGCTACTCTGAAACCTAGCACAGTGTGGATATTGCCATGCATTATCTACACTACAAACTAAAGGAATTTGCTCTTTTTTATTTTAAGTAAAATTTTTCTCCTTAATATGATGCTCATTTTCTAAAATGTACATATTCCAAAGAGAATGAGAGGAATGGAAACTACAACTTCACAGTGAAGATTCACCAATCCCAGAGCTTCATAAAACATTCCACAAAAGTTCACAGGAAGCTCTGTAAGAAAATATTCAGTTAAAATTGACAAACTATTCATTATTTTCCTACCTAACCACTCTTATCTTATGATTTTGATATTAGAAACAATTTGAGGGGCTTGGAACCAACTGCTTAATATAAATTTAACAACCCCTCCGCCCCCGCAAAAAAACCAAAAAACAAAAAACACCACCACCCTGAAGGTGATGCCAAAACAGACCACTGCAGCAAAAGCTTAAAATTCATATGAACAATATGAATTTATGGATTAACACAAGATAACAAAGACTAAGTAAGGAAATGTAGGTTAGAATCAAGTGATGGGAGATTATACCTTCGTCTGCTCCTAACAGTTTTTAGTTATGACAAAATATTTCTAAGCATATTGCATCAGTTATGAATGGCCTATTTAATTAAAATAAAATGCACAGAACTGACACTCCCATATATTAGAGACACAAGGCAGGTCAGGTAATATCTCCTGTTGGACCAGCTACAGAAGTTGGTCCAATAAAAGATATTACCTCACCCTACCTTCTCTCTCATATATCCTGGAACCCACATGGCTACAACATGACAAAGAATTAGCGTCTATTGGTATTTTATGAGGATACATTAAATAATGATTAGAAAGGAAACAGGTTGGCATCTGCTTAATTCCACCATTTGCACCATGGTGGTTAGGTTATTCTCAATTATATTTGTAAAATGAGCTGGACTGTAAGAACCATCCAGTCCCATCCTTACATCAGACAACCTTTGTTAGCCACACTGTAGTTCTTCAGAACAATATTCTCAAGGCAAAAAAAAAAAAATGTATAGCAGCTGCCCTAAGGTCATTATTATTATAGAACTTCCAGTCTCTCTTAAACCAACAACATTCACTTCAGCCTGAGCTGGGGCAGATATTGAGTGATACCACAGCAGCAGCTCTGGCTTAGGGAAGAAGCTGCTCTGTTCTGGTAATAATGTATCAGCTACTTGAGCTTTATTTCCTCTGAAAACTTTTTGCCGACTGAATTACAATTCCCCAGGGATTAGCCTGTATTAATTTTCTGTGCTCTCAATTTTATTTATTTTTTAATTTAGACTGAGTCTCCATTAATGCACAATTTGCAATGGAGATCTTATGGAAAAATTCAGTACTTCATAGGAGGACAAAGGCACTGAAGAAATTAATCATGAGGAAGACATACAACTAGGAGCATGACATTTGATTCCAAAAGTGCTTGACCCTGCAAAGTACAGAGCACTCTGGATCTGTTCCAGATAACAACAAAACGTGCTTAACTCAAACCATGTGAACATTGACTTTGATGGGACTACTCATGTGTTTAAACTTAATGACTAGGGCTAATGATTCGTCACTATAAAGGGCGTGTAAAATCAGTCTGGTTGTGAAAAAAGGCAATGGTCACAAACTGAAAATTAAAAACACTGAAAATCATGTATTGCATGATCTTAAACCCAAACAGCTTGTATTTCACAATGAAAGCTATTTAAAAGCATTTGAGTATTTAAATATTGACCCATAAGCATTTATCCCACTGACTGACGGTCCAGCCTCTCTGCAGCAGCAGAACAGAAGGGTGGGTGGAAGAGAATTACTACTGCTTTCTAGTCTCAGGGCACGTCTACTCGTACAGCGCGGCAGCTCTCCCATGGGCATAATAAAACTACCTCCGCGAACAGCAGAAGCTCATGAGTGCTTATGTCAGCATAACTTATATTGCTCAAGGGGGTGGTTTATTCACCCCTGAGTGACATAAGTTATGCAGACATAAGCTGTAGTGTAGACATAGCCTAAGCCTCTACAAAGGTAGCAGTAGCAGAATGGGAGCAGCGAGTCTCTTAACCTGCTACTGAAGCTAGGACTTTTTCCACCCTAACTAGAGAAGGCATAGAATCCATTCCACAACCTCAAACTACTACCCTCAGGAATGACCATTTATGCTCCCTGTTAATCCCCCATGCAGCCGAGGTTTCAACAAAACAGGTCCCAAGTTCTTGGTGAAAAGAAATCAGCCGTTCCCATCACATCCACTCACTCAAATGGGAAAGCCCCAAGACGTCAAAAAGATATTTAAAAGAAAAACCAAAAAGGTGAACATAAACATCCATGGAATCCATGACCATTGTTACAAACATTCAGCCTCAGTAACGACAAGTCACTTGGGCTACTTTGGGGTGGGGTGAAAGGAGCATAAAGGAGATTGTCTATGAAATTAAAAAAAATTAAAGTGCACGTCAGCACCTCTGAAATGTCCAGCAACTTATAGCCACCAAGGTCTCTTGAATGTTAATCAAATGATATGCATTTTTGGCTAGTAGATAAAAGATGAATAGCATGTATGCTATACAGACAAAGCCAAATAACCTCTGTTTGTTTTTTTAAAAATGGGAGTAACTGCTGTACAATATGTATATTCATCACCTTGTCAGGCCCAAGTAGTGTAATTCTTATGTACGGGATGGCATATTAAATCAGATCTTAGCATTAATAGTTATGTTACTTTTCACTGAAGGTGAACCTCCCTCTCTTTCCCTTTCATTACATTTCTAAAAACACAACCTTTCTCCCAAAACTCTACATTTGTGCAAATTTTAAGCAGCTATTTACTTATTGCACTATGGCTTCCTGAATAAAGAGGTAAAGAGCTCATTGAGACATCAGCTGAAGCAGGAAGTTTCATCTTCATCTTGTTAAATAGTCATGTAATAATTTAAACAAACAACAAAGCTACATAACTAGGTGACTATTTGAAGGAGGGGCAAAATACTATTGAAGCTAACCTACATTCCTTGTTTGGTTTCTCTTCTCCACCCATTAAAACAATCAGTGCTGACATTAAAACAACCAAAACAAGAGCTAGCAGAATTGCATACCTATGCCTATTATTACATGCAATATTAAAAGCAAATGTATTCATTACGAAAACAAATGCAAATTCAGTGTAAAACAAAAAGTGACTTCAATCCAAGTTGGTAGTGACCAAATGACCCTCTCCATAAGCATTCCCATCCTCAAATCACAGGGTAACTTTTCCATCTGATGGCTGTTCAGTGGTCTATATAAAATTATCTTGATTGTCTAATATCCCATGAACACATGCCCACATCACAGAAACCACAAATACAAGAGACACTAAACAGTAACCTTGTCAGAAGTCTCAGCAGGTAGGGTAAGAACTGAATGGGATTGAAGACTGAACTAAATCTTATTCCATGGTCCCTCCAGTGTACTGGTACTATCCATGCTGTACATGTACTGCAGATGAATTAAAAAAGGTCAGTGCAAATACTTCAATATTGCACCCTTCATAAACAATGACTTCAGACCATTTTTTAAAAAATAGCAAAAGTAGGAGAAAACATTACTCTCAAATTGTTGATCCCAGACCTAGTTAAATGAATACAGAAGTAATTGTGTAGCCAACAGTGTTGGAACTACATTTAAGAGGAACCAACTGAACTCTTCCTCCATAGCTACTGGATTGATAACAGGTTTTTAAAAAGCAGTTACTAGGCCATCCCATCCTTCGTCTCTTTTTCCTTCCAAATCTGACATCAATGACCAATAGTTCTTAGCAGAGTTTTCCAACTCTGGGCAGCTTCGATGACGATGGTAATCAAGTTTATATGTATCATGACTGCAAACTCAAAATACAAGACATAATGGGACTGGCTATCCACAGAAAGCAAGGCAGCATAAACATTCAGTCTCCAAGTAGGTTAGCTGAACAGCACAGTTTAGACTATCAAATAAAGTCTGGCCCTTCAAGTGACACAAAAGGGCCAGATTCTGGCTTCAACTGGTCAGCAGTAAATTCCCCTGGTGTAGGGAAACTCCCTCTTGGTGTAAAAGATGCCACAGCAAGCTACTGTGCCATCTGTCTCTCCCACTTCCTCTCCAATATAGAGTGTGCGTCAACTGAC